AAGGCTAAGACCTCACTAAAAATGAGGTCAACAAGTATCTAACAAACATCCAGCAACTGCCAATGGAAAAAAAAAATAATAGAATTAATGTAAATCTGAAAGTTTTGTCATTGGGGAAGAAATACATGAGTTTTAATTCTTAATTTTTGTTTCCTTTTTCATTTCAAGCATACATAAACATGCCCATGATGTCAGCTCTACACAAACAGGATGCATTTTCTAGTATTCTTGAATAGTTTATTAAATCTATACTAAAGCAATTGCCATAATTCTCTATCATAGATGCCGCCATGGATTCCCCGCTTCCTGCAATTACAACCTCAGTTAACGTCCGACTACCATTTACCTGTTAAACTAGCGTGACCCTTTCCCTTTCCCTTTCCCTTTCCCAATGGATTGCTCTTGCTACAATCAGTGCCCACCCCGGCAATAATCCAACGTCCAGGTCTTCAACCATTCAATATATTTGAAAAAAATTTAATATTTTCATCTGGATCCTTAAGCGATCCTGGAAGTACTATTTATGGAAGGTTTTATAACTAGAAATAATCAATGGTGAACTAATACTTGTTACTTTTAAGTAGATTTTCATAGACTTTGTCTAGTTTCTTATTTTAGGTTTTTTGAAGGCAAATAGGACACTGAAGCATGTAAAAAGTGATTAAATGATAAATATTGAAACGCAATTCTAGGTTTCCTCTTATATTGTGTGCTTTTTGAATTTATATTCTTTGAGTGTTTTGAAGGTGTGGATGGTTAGTTCCGGTGAGACTCACTAAAACAATGTGAGGCCCGGTTCCTCTCATTATTGGGGGATTTATATCCTTGTTCGCATCTATTCAAATATTTCGTCATTGGTTTTGTATGAACTTTGTCTCCGTTGGAACTTTAAGTTTGTCATTATTTTCTTGTAAAATTTTAGGTTTTTGGGCAATTATCAAATTATCTTCTCAATGAATAAAATTTGTTTGTTGTCCTTATATTAAAAGAAACGCAATTTTCTACTAGAACTATGAATTAATACATGTAAACTAAGATTTTTTTTATATTTCCATCATGTATCTTATCGTATACTGCATTAGAAATCATATACCCTTAATTATCCTACATCAATTAGTTTAGAGATATGATTGTGTTAACATTCTGATTAAAGGTAAAAACATAATAATTAGTTCCAGTCAGAAACCTTCCAAAAATAATACTTCCACGATTGCTTAAGAATCCAAATGAAAATATTCATTTTTTTTATAGACTCTATTTTCTTATTTTGGGTTCTTCAAAAGCAAATAAGACTCTGAGACATGTACACAAATGATTGAAAATGCAATTCTAGGATTCCTCTTATATTGTGTTTGTTGAATTTGTATTATTTGAGTGTTTCAACAGTTTAGATGATTAATTCCGGTGAGACTCATTGTAACAGTGTAAGACTCGGTTTCTCTCATCGGGGTGATTTATATCCTTCTCCTTGTCTATTTAAATATTTAGTCATTGGTTTCGCATGAACTTAGTCTGTGCTGAAACTTTATGTCATTATTTTCTTGTTAATTTAAGACTTTTGGACAATTATCAAATTATCATTTCAATGAATAAAATGTGTTTGTTGTCCTTATATTGAAAAAAATAATTTTTTCTGCTAAACCTATGAATTAATACATGTGAGCTAAGAATTTTTTATATTTTCATATTATATGTTATTCTAGACTATATTAGATATCCTAGACCCTTAACTATCCTACATCAAATTAGTATGATAGATATGCCAGTGTTATCATTCTAATTAAAAGATGCAACAAAAACAAAAAACAAGTTGTGGTTCTAAACAAATACAACATAATTATAGTGAAGATCAAAACTACATTGCTACATTCAGTGGGTGATATGATCATGAGAATTTTTAGATTGGATTATAAATTTAAAATTTTTTAATAAACAGTATCAATCTCACATTAAAAAAATTGAATTTGTTAAATTAAACTAGTAGGCAATCCGATATCCTAAATTATTTCCATGATTTATTGAAAATAAATATACCACTACATGAGCTAATAAAAACAAAAGCTTAAAGAATAAAAGCTATCATTTGGATCGCAAAAAATAATTGCAATAGCATACCACTCCTTATTTTTTTAAAGTTATTAGGCAAAAGATTCGGAAAGAATACCAAAAACACAATAAAAGGATTTAATTAGGTCTTTAGATGTTAACACATATTATGAATGTTATTTTAGAACTATCACCCTAATAATTAAGGTCCTTAAAAAGAAATCAGCACTTGTCTCTCACAAGCATGAAAACAAAATGATAAGAAATAGATCTCATCATTAAGGTCAAATAATGGATCATCATTAGGATGAAATTTTGTTTAGCTTACACAAACAATTGAAAGGATCTCAAGTAAAATCAAACTAATTAAACAATAAGTATATTGAGTTGAGTTCCAATAACCATTATCTTTTCCTCTCAAACCTATTAGCCATTCATCATCACAAAAATCGCCCACAATAAGGCAAATCCCATTGAAGAAATTGTAGTTAATGGATGCTTTTTTGAGGATTAATTAGATAGAGTTTTTGAGTAACAATTAAACTCTTTCACGGATGCATTAAATTCATGAGAAAATTACAATTGCAACAGAAGTTTGTATCCAAGTGTGTTGAATTAGAAAGTGACCTATGTTAAAATTAGCTCAAGAACCAAACAGATACTTAAACAAGAGTTATAACCTAAATTTAGAGTTTAAGTTAAAATTAATTCAAAGAAAATTGCACATACATATGAACAAAAGCCAAAATTTGAACCTGAAATTAAAATTGAGTATAAGATAACTTTAAACCTAAGTCTCAAATAGGCACTAAATTTAAAGCCAAAATTGAAGCTACAATTATATTTTGAGTACAAATTATAAGTATAACATGAATCAAATCCTAAATGGCAAGAGGATCATTTAGTTCAATGCCCTTAAATGTGCAATCGAAAAATTTTAGTTTTTCATGGTTGACAAGTTGATTAAATTGATCAAACTGAATAGAAAAAAAAAAAAAAAAAAAACGATTTTAACATAAATGGGGTAGTTTATAGACAACTGAATAAACTGATATGAACGTTCAATAAGAAAAGGAACAGCTTGAGACTACTAAAGGTAATGAATCAATTGAAAAAGCAAATTTAACCACTGATGAAAAAGTTATAGCAAAAATATCATTACCATTAAACTATAATTAATTTGTTTTAAATATTAATTTCTTGGAATACAAATTCATAAATGAAAGCAAAATTACATCAATATTTCAATGAATTAAACAAAAGACATAAACATAACCTAAATTTTAAATTTTAATTGAATATAAAAGTGTGTACATCAACTCCACAGATAAAAAAATCCATCTAGGATGGCTTCCTGTAAGGTTATTTGTCCAAATAGGCATTTCATTTTGTGTACTTTCATGTTTTTAATTTCTTTACCATCTTATCATATAGAATTAGATTATAAATAAATATAAGAAAATCAGAGGATGCATCTTAGTATTATAGTATTTTCATTACTAGTTCCATATAATTTACATGCATGAATTGCAAGATTTGCATGAAGGTATTCATAGTAAAATAAAAATTATAGCAATTATAAATCTATTGAGAATGTCAGCTCAAAAATGTGGAGTTTAAGCTAGAAGATAACCTAATGACACGCATAAATTCAGAAGTCTCCTGTGTTATCCATTAAGAACTTAATTGTAAGAAATGTGGGGCCTTACAAATTTTTTCCATGCAATACAAATTGAAAATCTTGAGAAGTATTAATGCAGTCATGCCTTCGATGTGTACAATTTGAAATTACTTCATGAACCTATTGCCGGTACCATGAATTCTACTCTCTTAAGCTCCCTTTGTCGTCAATTCACATCCAACACTTATCAAATGGACCTACACAATTTGTTCTTAACTTAAATGCAAGGATTGTGTCCACTACTGAAAATTGACATAACAGTTTACCCGTTCCATGGGATGGTATGTTTTTAATGAATTATATTGCAAGAGCACAACAAT